GGGGGGGGGACGGGAGTCGCCCGGGCGAGAGAAGTGGGCAGCGAGAGGGAGAGGGAGGGAGAAAGGTACTGGGAGAAGGGCGAAGGATGGGGAAGATCCTCCAAGGGGGGGGGAGCGCAGGTGTCTCACACACTCACAGAGGGCAAAGAGGCCGTCCTCCCGGGTGGGGCTGTTGCGTGCCAGCTGGCTTTTGAGCGGACGCGGGGTGGAATCTCCCCGCCCCCTCCCCCCTCCTGGGGACACACAAGACCTCCAAGGGGGGGGGAAGTCGGGTCGCCGGCCTGGAGGGATGAGATTCCCTCGCCCGGGGGGTCGGCCCTGCCCCGGGCCCAGCGCGCATGCGTTCCTGGACGATCACCGCTGGCACTTGGGGCATGTGTCCCTGGCCTGGACCCCCCCCCCCCTCCCCTCTCCCCCTTGACAAGCGAGGGTCCCGCGCCTCCCTGCGGGCAGCCGCCGGGCCGCTTTGCCCCTGGGCCCCCCGGTTGCCTGCGTGCCGCGCGCCGCATGGAATCGCTGGGAGCCCGGAGTTAGGATCCCGCGCGAGGATCACGCGCGGTGCATGCGCCGGCACCAGCAGATCCTAAATATTCGATTGGCATATGGCCGCAGGATCTGCAATTCCAGACCGCGGCATTCCGCCCGCCGGGCGGATGTATCGCGCGAGGGCGCCGGGCCTCACGCCACAGACACACTCATCTCGGCGCCCAGACCCGGGGGGCCGCGGGAACGTGCGGAAGCCCACGGCCGGCCACAAAAGTGGGCGGCCCGCCCTCTTCCGCCGCTGCCTGGACGTGCCTCGGGGCGCTCGCACACTTGGGTGGCCTGGCTCATATGCTGCCCTCCGCCCGCAGGTCCGTCCTCTGGCGGGCGGGGGGCCCGGGCATATGCCGCGGCGGTTCGTCGGGCCGAGTGAACACTCATCAGTTCATTGGCAGTACTATTGGCGCGCCCCCCACCCCCCCGCCCACGGCCTTGGAGGGTCCCCCGCACGGGCGCCCGCAGCCCCGGCAGGAGAACGGCCGGCCAGGGTGCGGGGTGCTTGTGTGTATGGAAACCAAGAGAGGAACGGGGACGCCGCCGGCGGGGAAACCAGACCGGCCCGGCCCGACTCTCTAGCTGTTGCCCCATTCCGCTCCGGCTGGGCGGCCCGGTTGGCGGGTTCCCTTATTTGTCCCACCGGGCTAAGGCCTGTCCTGCCGCGGCCGCGGCACCCCCCCATCGCAAGCCCTTTGCCCCTCCCCCCTCCCCTCCCCCCCCTCCTCCCTGCTCCCCCCCCCCCCTGTCCTTCCGAGGCAGGGGCCCTCTGACGCGGAGAC